CCCAGGCATTTTCTCAATAATTTTCTTCAATCCTTTATCATATACAAACAAAAGTTTTGGGTGAATAGCATTAATCGAACATTCAACTACACTACTAAAATTCGGGTCTTATTTTAAGATCCAAATATCTCGATTTTTTAGTCCTTAAACAAGTCTTGATTTAAGACTGTACATTGATCTTATTGCTCAGATTCCTTTGGGATCTTAATTATTTTGTGACTTTTTCGAAGTAAATAATGAATTCAATAATTATCGAATTTCGTGAAATGATTCAATTTTTTTTTAATTATTTAGATAATTGAAATTATTATAAAGTTTTTCTCTTCAATTTTGTGGGGCATGGCGGGGGGGGGGGGTGTTCACCATATGCTGGCACCTAGAGGTTTGGAATAAATTTTAAAAAATAGAGGAGGATGGAAACGACCCGGTAGAAGGGAATTTTGCAATCCGGTGATGTTTTAGACAAGGAAAAAATGTTTATTTCAAATTTGGGGGGGGGAGGAGTGACCCCCATACGCTTGCACCTAGAAGAATGGAATAAATTGAACATCGAAGTATTTACATGTATCTTCATAGAAAATACATTTATCAATTGAATATCTCGTTTATCTTTCTTTATAACTGCTAATTACTTCAAGAGGTTATGAGCCGAGTCTCACGACTGAAATAAAAGGAAGATAGAAACGGTGGAATTGAAGAAGCTGAAGGAAGTACATGCAAGAATTTTCTGACCCTGAAGAAATGGCGACGTACGGATCAGCAAAGATAGAAACACTACAAAAAGACAATTATGACACTTGGAAAATTCTGGTAGAAGCATTACTCGTTAAATTTGATGAATGGGGGTATGTATCTGGAGAAATAGTGAAACCAGCGTTGGAGGATGGTGCAGCATCACGTGAAGCTGTTAGAGTTTGGGAGGTAAATGATAAAAAAGCGAAATCCGACATCATACTGAACATCAGCCCGGCGGAATTAAAACAAGTCAAGGGCTGCGTGACCTCGAAACAGATGTGGGACAAGCTAAATGTAATTTACCAATCAAAGGGACCACAGAGGAAATCAACGTTGCTGAAGANTACTTAACATGGAAATCGAGATAAATCGAGGTAAATCGAGGGGCTCTGAAATTGGCTAAGAACCCGGTTTTTCACAATCGAACAAAACACATCGACGTGAAACATCATGCTGTGAGGGACATCGTCAGCAGCACTGGTCCAAAGTTGGAATATTTATCTACGAACGAGATGGGGGCTGATATTCTGATCAAGGTACTGGCGAGACCTAAGCATCAGCAATGTCTCGAGATTCTGGGAATTTCATTAAATTAAAAATTGAAATAATCCACATATCGAGGGGAAGTGTTGAAGAGAGCGAATTGAGCGATAGGTGGATGTTTGGTTGTCAAGGGGTTGTTGATTGGGCTTATTGATTGATATTCGTTCATCGAACGTTGAAGTACTGACATGTACACTGATTAAAATACATTTGTTATTTGAATCTTCATTTACCTTTCCTTAATTAATACTAATTACTTCAAGATAAACCATTAATTTTGACCCGTCTATTTGACCCTTGTGACCCTTAGATTTTGAACCGTAGATTTTGACTTTTAGAGTTTGACCTTGTATTTTGACCGTTAGTTTTTTACCTTTGTGACCCTTCAATTATGAACCATGGATTTTAACCCTTGTGACCCTTCAATTTTGAACCTTACGTTTTGACTCTTGTATTCAGATGCTTACGTTTTGACCCTTGTAACCTTTACAATCGAAACCTTGGATTTTGACCTTTATATTCAAGCCCTTCTACTTTGACGCTCATGACCCTTAGAATTTCGCCCTTGTGATCCTTAAATTTGAAACCTTAAAATTTGAACCTTATATTCAGACAATTGTCGTTTGACTCTCATAACCTTCAAAATTTACCCTTGCGACCCTACAATTTTGAATCTTCGATTTTGGGTTNGCTTTATATTCAAGTCTTTCTACTTTGACGCTCATGACCCTTAGAATTTCGCCCTTGTGATCCTTAAATTTGAAACCTTAAAATTTGAACCTTATATTCAGACAATTGTCGTTTGACTCTCATAACCTTCAAATTTTTACCCTTGCGACCCTACAATTTTGAATCTTCGATTTTGGGTTTGATTTTCAGATCCCTTTATTTTGACCCTTATGACTCCCAAATTTTGACCCTTGTGACCCTTAAATTGGAAACCTTAAAATTCGACCCTTATATTCAGATCCTCGTATTTTGACCTTTATGATCCTTTGATTTTGACCCTTGTGACCTTTAAATTCTTAACTTTGGATTTTGACTTCGGTATTTAGACCCTTGTATTTTGACCCTTACGATTCTTAGATTTCGACCTCTATGACCCTTAGAATTCGACATTTGTGACCTTTAAATTCTGAAGCTTGGATATTAATTCTTATATCGGGTGAGTTGTGCTAAAAGGTCGTATAACCATTTCTTTTTCATTTTCTCGGAAATTTGTGCCAAATGTCGTATAAACACTTTCCCAGGGGATATGAAATCTCCACCTTTCAGATGATTCTGAGTCGTCTGAGCCTATCTTTTCGAAACCAAATTTTCAATTTTTACAAGGACTTAAAGGACACTCCCAGGAAATATGGAATCTCCACGTTTTGGATTATTCTGAGTCATCTGAGTCATTCTGAGTCATGTGTTGAATTT